AAGAACATCAAAATTTATTTTAAGGTACTTCCACTTATTGTTACTTCATTAAAGGTAAAGTCAAATTAGAAACCCTAACAATACAGAGAATATGACAAAGACACTCGCAGTAGTGCCTAAGGAAATTTACTAAAACCCAAATGTGTGTTTCCAAAAATCTGGAAATGTTAGAAGCTAGGTTTATTGCAGAGACTGAGAACACCGAGGTGAAATTTGGTGATATCGCGTCTAATACATTATAGAATTTTTTGGGTGAAACCGAAGTGAATTCGTAGCGTCCGGACACGTTTTCGAATGCTCCAAGTTTTAATTATTTAAACAGTTAAAAATCCTTATAATAAACTAAATTTGTGGTAAAAGGGCGCGATCAGTTAAGCGTCCCAATAGATTCCGTGCAACACACGAACAAAAAAGAGCTAAAAAGAAGGAATCTGCGTTTGAAAAGACTCTTCAATCTTCTTTCAATTGTCCGGAATTCGCTTTCATTTTCTTTTCTTTAAAGGCTGGTGGCCTTTTAGTGCAGCTAAAAAAAGAAGATGCGCTAACCCGTAAGCTACAAAAAGCACTATAGCGCACACTAGGCAGAACGGTTATCTCGGAGAAAATTGAGTCGAAGATCTTTCTTCAGATAAAAGCCATAAACGAAAATACAGATGTAAATGACGGCAACATACAAAGCGTACATGAAGAAGATACGGTTATGTAACATTAGGGGCGCATTATGACGCCTCAAAGAAGCGCTAATCGATGACCAGCTGCGCAGGTACTGAATTAAAATATGCATCTGGTGTTTGCACGCAGTCCATCTGGCACGAGATTGTCGCGGGAAGGACTGCAGTTCGTTATACAGAACATGCGCAAAAGAGGGACACAAATACAAAGACTGAATGTAGAAACGAATTTTAGCCACTTTATACCAAGCTCAGCTTGCAACAAAGTACCATAAAATGGAGTTTAAATTCCTTCAACCCAATCTGGGAAGCGGCAGGTGTATACAAGAGACACTAGCCTAGAAATCGGGGAAACATATAAAACAAACGATGGATGCCTACAGCGTTCAATTTAAATATAATATAGGACATCTGGAAGTGAAATTAACGAAATTAACATTCAGGTTAAGAAGCTTTCAACCACAACAAAAGTTATGCCAAACATGAACGGGCCAACAACGGGCCAAAATAAAGGAGATGAAACCTTTTATGCAGCATAACATACGCGCAAATGATTTATGCCACACCCATTTAGGCAGAGCAAGTAAATTAACATCTTCTGCGAAAGCTGAAAGCGGTTCAAAAGCTATGCACGTTGAGAATAATATCGGCAGCGTTGTCATTTCTTCACAAATATTGATTACTTAGACCTTTACTTACCTTTACTTAGACTTAGAATATATGTTATGTTAATTTCTCTCCCATTATTTAGCATTCGATTAGTTTTATCAAAATTGAGTTGATAACCATAAATTGAAATAAAAATGAAATAAAATGAATTGTAGTAAAATTTGGTTTCAATGTAGGTATAAATGATACTGCATTAAAAATGTATTGCTTCATGCAGAATTACGAAAAGTTTATATCAAGCAGTTGTAGAAGAAAATGATATGGATTTGAGACAAAATTATTTAAAGAAGTTAGCATAATTTTGAGCGTTATCTGTAAAAAAATATAGAACTTTAGCTAGACAACAAGTTTGAAAACACATTCTCAAAGAATGTTCCTCTTTTTGTTGAATGCAAATCAATCGCAACAAAAACTTTGTATACTACATAAAGTCTTTTTTTCGAAACCAAAGCCAAAGCTCACATTCTGCTACACAGAATATAGTGCACACTTTTTTTACGGAAACAAAGCAGATATCAAACAACCTGTTGTAAAAGTTTCTAAACATGCTGCTGCAATACGTATTTATTTATAAGATTGAACGCGGCATTAGTAAAGATTTTCAGTACTATTGTGTTGTTCGCATTGAAAAGTTTGTGCGCGGCTAAATTGTGTATATAAGTCTATTATGAGTAATTCTCTCGTATGTTTACTGCCACAATCAGTAACATAAAAAAATATTAGCTTCGATATAAAATTGTACGTACAAATTAAAAAACCGAATTCATGTGTTTGCAATAATTACAAATTAAAGTGTACTTAAAACTAGTTGGCAGCAAATGATAAAACGCAAATCGCTTTAATAAAATCATTCATCTAAAGCACATTTTCATTGAATTCCATCAATTATTAATAGTGCCAGATATTTAATCACGCAACAACAAACTACTATAAAAACTGAAGCGGTATGTCGAATGATTTTTGTGTAAATTTGTTTATGGGCAATAACAATGTCGTTAAGGTACGATCTCCGCAACAACTTCCACGATGATCTTTGAATTTGAGTGCACACGAGGTAGATGTAGTAACCACTTGACCACTAACCTACTAAAGTAAACTTAACTAATGCTCCTTATATAACATTGTAAACGTATAATATATAAACCTCAATAGCGGTAGTTTCAACAATTCATGCACTTTTGTATAGCTGTTCAACAAACCGCAAGGGGATTTTCTTCTAATGCTTTGTTTATATTTTTAGTCACGCTTTCTTGAACTTTTATGTCAGCTAATGTGGAAATATATTATTTAATAACCCAATTTATTTTCAGCTACGAAATTCTTTCAATTTTTCCCTTTCACAGGAATTTCTCATTAAAAATTGGATCCAAGATAGAAATGAGCTTAAATTCTTAGAGAAGCTACGCCCACTTTCTCATATTTATGATAGGCAAAAGCTACATTCACGGTAATGCTTACTGTGCAGAAAACCATAACATTTGTATTTCAATTTACAAAAATCATAATTTAAGTTTATTTTTACTTTGCTTTGACTTAAATATTATTAACGTGACTATACTTATTTCTTCATTGTCTACATATTTTGTAAATCAATTTACAAAGTATGAATTTAAAGGCTGCCGGATAACTTAGATCATATGCTTGCCTTTATTGAAAACTCTAAAGCACTTGAGAATATTATTATTATTACTGTTGTTATTGTTATTATTATTATTAGAAATAGCGAAACAAAGCTAAAGTTTTAAAGTACTAGAATCCAAGGTTATCTTATCGGCTTTGAAAAGTCTACCGCATTGGAGATTTGAACCCACGTCTATTAAGTTGTTAGTTGGGATTCTTTGCCTAGTCGGCCACTCAGGTGTGTAACATTTTACAAATGGATTTTGTGTGTTATAATAAATGCATTGATTTTAAAAGCAAAATGTGAATTCATTGGTAGTTACGACTAAGTCTCATTTAAAATGTCCTCACAAACAATTTCATTGAACCTAGTTGAGCCAACATTTTCAAAATGGATCTAAACTTATTCTCTTATAAATTTCATCACGTCCTTAAAAGTGTCGGTAGAAGCTGTAAGGAAGATATCACCTTTTATAAGAAAGAACTTTGATGCTTTTGGTAGGTAGGAAACCATATGAGTATTTCACGTTCAGCAATGATTTAGAGGGCTGTTACTTCAAAAGACAAGTAGGCTATTAGCCTTGTTTTTAGTTTTAAATTGTAATAGATTTTGAACATTTTTTGTAAATATACCTTAAAACTTTTTTTAACCAGATTTCTTGCTGTCAATAGTCTTGCATAGATTTGATTTATCCATATTATCCAGTAACAGATATCCTTAAATGTGATGATTTCTAAATTAAATATATTAAATATTATTAAGTATATTTGCGAAGTGTCATTTAAATGTTTGCTTTTTATGACTACCATTGCAGATATGTGCGTCGCTCAATAGAAGCATTTGAGTTGACGTATAACATATTATGTTATCGTATTGTTCATTTACACACTATATTTTCTTATGAATTTTACTTTTTCGAACGCGAGAAGAGAAACTTGTGTGCATGTGTAATACGAAATGATCATGCGTTGTCAACATAGTTTATCTGTTTTTAGATTCTCAACAGCATTGTTTATACTACGCTTATTAGATGCTTGCACTATTCCGCAGTGAACATCCTACGTTTGTTAAAGTAGCTGCATTCGTGGTCTATATAAATAGGGGAAAGAATTTTCGCATGCTCGCCTGTCTATGCAAACTGTCTTAGCGAAGTTAGGATCAAATATTTTCCTATCGTTTTTGTCAGTTTAGGTTTACTTTTTCTTCCTTTTTTAGTTATTTCTTTAAACAGAGTTTAGAGATGTAATTTCGTCTTACAATTTTTTGCAATTAAGACTTTAAAGTTCTCACGAAAATCATACAGCGACACGATTTGTTTTGAAAAAGCCATATGTTGTCATAAACAAAGGGTCTTAGATGAATATATGTTGAACATATCTATGAGTTGTTGTCATATTATACATATACATGGATACATGTATTTTTAACAAAAGAGTTAGAATGGAAATTCAAGCTTTACATGTGCATGTCTTCCGTAGTTGCTTACCTTATTAGGGTTTACCTAAAAGGTGCCTGGAAACGTAAGTTGGCGTTGGATATTGGAAAATTCGGCCAAAGCCAAGTTTCTTATTATAATTGATAGAAATGAACTTCTTTTCCCCTTTAAATACATTGCCTGCGTGTCTTTTATTTATTCGCGTTCTTTGTACGTATTCAAGAGAGAGATCTTCAATAACAATCAAATTAAAATTCAATCAGAATAACACTTGCAATGGATTTACGATATAAGATATATCTTTTATTTCTTATTCTTTCGCCCACAAACATCTTGATTTTTATACGGCATCAAACAGATATGTAAGCATGTGCATTGATGTACGTAAATAAATTCTCTTTATGAGCCAAAGCAAGAAAGATTAAAAATACATATGTACTATTTATTGCCTTTGAAAAAGAATGAGAGAGTTATTTCCGAATTTTTTTTACTTTAAAAACCTTCGTAGTTTACATATTACTAAACATATTAACTGGGTGAAAATTACGCAGTAATAGTAAAGTTTGAAGGTTTTGATAGTAATGAAATCTTTTGATGATCCTTGCCTATTTTTCGATTGCAGAACACGTGCATATTATTCCAAAACAATTTTGGTTTGGAGTTATTGCCGTAAACCATAACTACTTTCAAATTCTAGCAATAAATAGTTCTGAAGATAAACAGTTTGGTTTACTTTCATAATTTCCACAGTAGCTTTCTGTTGAACTTCGGCATAACTGTTAATCAAGTTGTAACTGAATGTTACTCAAATCGACAGCACTTGCAGGAATTCCACGTTTGACTATACTGTGTATAGTTATTTAACTGTTCAATTATTTTTAGTTAATGTGTGCAGCTATCAGTTGCAGAAGAGTTTCTAAGAAGAGAGAAAAAAGAGAAAAACCGACATGAGAAACCGTGGTGGAGCCCGATAAGCCTTAATCAAACAAGTGAAAACATTATAGTGGGGCTAGGCCGACTATTAAATGCCCTACACAATACTGCCTAGCACAATTCTTACTGTTGCTATAGAAAAAAAATTATACCCTGTTTTTATAGGAACTTACTGTTAAGGTACATTAAAAATTATGCCCCCTTGCAAATAAAGGCTTCTAGTTCTTAAGAATGGCTGCGTCCACGGCTTAAACTTCGTACCAGAAAAAATTCTGCTTACTTTAGAATGTGACTTGTGAATACGAGACTTGTGTATTTAAAAAAAAACGAAAACCTGCGCTACGCATTTTTTGTGCAAATAATGCACGATCATGCCTAGACTGAACACATCCACAATATTTGTAAGTAGTGGTATACAAATTTAGTGCTCCTAAACATTAACAAATGGTTTTTCGTCGGACCAACCGTTCAAAACGTCTCATCACTCCCAATAATGTGCAATTAGATAAGTCAAATGAGTCAAAAGCACATTGGGCATTTACTAAGCCCAGGGCAGAAGAGTTTCGTGATCCCTACACTATCCGATTGCTTTATATTATATATCGCTCTTTTAGAATACGTTTCTATTATCCGGAATAGGCTCCTTACTGCAAACAAATGAGACCTGTACAAAAACACTGTTTCTTGTTTACGTGGTCTGCGCTGGAAGCTTAACATCCGGCTGACAACGCACACAAACCGTTTAGCTAATACAAAGTTGCTCATACTAGAAAGCAGACAGTATCTTTCGTGCATAATCTTCTGAATGGCATATTTGATTAGTAGGACTTACTAGGCTAGGCTATTTCGAATACTTAATGTAGATCTCTTGAGAACAACCTATGGTAATAATGATCCCATCCGAAGATTTTAGAGGTATTACAATGAGAACTAGATAGATTACGGCGTGATTGCTTCTGTCATAAAGTCAAAAATTATTAAGCACTTTAACATACTTTGATGTAACACTCTATTCGTCCTTGTTGGTTACAGCTGAACATTACCGAAAGATTGTGTTTTAGTATTCTTTCTCATTAATCTAAACTAAAAGATCTAAAAGATAGTGGGTCCGCTTACAAGTAACAAAAGAGACAATTTTTTTTTGTTTTCTTCCCCAAATTATAACCTTAGGACACCCGTTACGATTGTGCTTGAATATAGTTAAATAAGCCCACAAAATTATTAATTATTAATTGGTCGCCTTCCGTACCGTACAATGAATTATGAAGATTTAAAATAACATTATAATATCGTAATCGTAGACTAACAAATTTAATTAGTAAGTAATATTCTGCTAATCTTTGACATTATGTTTAGGAGAGTGAGCAAACAAAATTTGAGACAATGCTTCTTTTCTTAGATACAACTTTAAAGTATTGACCATGATTTTAAAATGTCAAAATGCAAACATCATTTGTGGGCACTTTGCAAGGCCTCTGATAGATAATACTGTGCTCTGAAGCATTTGATAAATCTAACAAATCCGCTCTAGTAGGAAAGAAAACATCAAACTATTAAAAAAAAAGACACTGCTAAGAATTAATTTTTCCGTATAGCATTACCGTAGAATTAACCTAAGAAGAAAGCTGTGCATATCGCAAAGGGAATCAACTAACTTAGGTAAAACGGTATTCAAATCGATATCTTATAAAGCTGCTGAAGACCTCAACAATTCATAAGTGAACTTCCAGACGAATGTTGTGTTATACCCTACATTCTTCATCCAATTACCCAGGCTACTACCAACGTCTGGGAGATATGAAAAAAATGAATTACATACTAAGCCATCGGTCATTCTTAGCAATAAAGAAGTTGCAAAATTTATAAAGGATAGCAGTGTTCAATAATTCCATCTACTCATGCTCGATCATGTACCTGTCTGAAATTTATTTGAACTCTCTACATCCTAAGGTCTAAGAAATCGAAGTATTCGCATATTTGTTGCTTACACTGCTGCCAAATTTTAAAAAGTTTTTTTCAATAAATACCAATTACAAATTGAATATGCATACACAAATTACACAAAGTTTTCATTGAGTATTTTGCGAGTGAATTTGCACGTCGGAGTTGTTAAGCAAAATTAGAAATGCAAATTATTTGTAAATGATATTTGGTCGTAATGAAATTTGCTCGAGTTGATTGTAACATTTTAAAATTCTCATAGGTGGTTGCATGTCCGTTTCCACACGTGAAATATATATGTAAGAATATATATGTTTAGACATTAAGCTTAATTACAGTGGGCGACAATCTAATTGGAATGAATAATAACGTAAAATAAAATAAATGCAATTTTCACAGCATCTGGTTGCTTTATTCAATAACGAAGTGAACGTTCTCCATGTGTGGACTAAAAATATGCGTATATATTATGCAGGGACGGGGATGGTATTTTAACAATCAATCTAATACATTAGTTAGTGCTATTTGCGTTCTCTTGCCATTTACGTTCTTGTGCTTGAAATCTGTTGAATATCAAAGGGTTAGTACCTTTGTTCAAGAAGTTATTTGTTATGCAAACTGGGTTTTATCAGAGATTTTTAATGTGGACACAAATTAACTCAACCTGTCTTTCTCAACGTAATTCATATTGATGGAAAAAATGTGTTGCCTGCGATGAATAGCGTTTTGCAAAAAAACTGTTCACTAGTTTCTTGAAATAATTGTTTATTTTTTCTTTGCATAACAGTAGACGTATTCGATGTTCCAACCAATTATATTTTGTGCATCCGAGCAGTATAATTTACACCTTTTTCGTAATTTTCTGTGGAGTTGTTACAGCTTGGACATTAGAAAAGTTTGCAGGCTCATATTTGTTCCACATATATAATACATCGCTTGATAATTCCGGGCACTAAGTAAAAAAAATTTTTTTTTTTCTTGAATCTCATGGAAAAATCGTTTCTCATCATTTACGTAGCTGTTCTTATTCTTGCAGCCAACATTATAAATCCCTCTTTAATTGTGTCCAAACGCACACAGTCCTTTTTTAACGTTTCTTTTGCAATGAAGACAACGTTTGATAATTTTATTGATAGTTTGGTGTACGGACTGACAGATAAATGCACAAGCAGGTGAGCATGCTACTTCTTTAAAAAGTTCAACGGAAGCAATTATAAAAACAGATGCAAAACTGTATGAATGGATTTGAACTGAAAAACTAAATAATTGTAAAAAAAGTTTTAGACGAAGGCTCGTAATTAAACAGAGTTTTCTATCTAAACGAGCCTGTACGATTTGATGACTCGAATTTGACGCTATATCTCCTTGTACCTCTGCGTAGAAGTACTACTTTCAGTTGAAAAGAAATATAGGTACACAGACTATGTTTCTCTCGGCCGCCACACTATACACTACATACTAATAATTCAATGTGGGAATTGGCAGATATGATGAAAGTATTGCAGTTGGTTATTGTTTGTTAACAATTTAAATAAGGATTGCAGCTTTAAAAGTATTACTTTCCTTTTGTGATCTTTTCGTTTACTATACTATTTTACTATAATTACAAACTTTCCATCATCTGCTACAAACTAGAAAAAGAACCTAAGTTAAGCAGAGGGCCTGCTTAAAAAAAAATTGCTGACGAATTAAGATATTTAGCAAAAAAGTCTTTATTTTAGTCTATTATTTTAAACCAAAGCATCAACATTCTTCTAGAAATTATAATAAATTCTATATCTACAATATGTTTGCATACTTTTTATGTAACTTTGTTAATAAAACTTTCACCGTGTTAAGAATAAAGTCATCAAAGTATATATAACAAAGAGTTTTGTTCCTCCGGATAAAGGGACAATCCTTTGAAATGTGTAGGAATGCATTTAGACATAAAGATTAATTCCGTGCATTTACTGCGATGTGAAAGAAAAATCTTAAAGAAGGCGGAATAACATGTACAAATCTCAGCAAGTTCTTCTAGGTGCTACTTCTTCTATCAATGACACATAACTGTTTAGTAGTTTTAGTTTATTAAGGCTATCTCATATTCACTTCTTCAACAATGACTAACCGAATGCTTATTCTTTAATAAGCTGGGTTACATTCATTGTGAACCATAGCTTACCATGCCTCTTTGAGACAAATATATACCTATATAAAATCCGTGAGTTCGTTTATGAATTGTGTTGACCAGTTCTCCATTGTCATAACTTCAGCCTTGCGTCCCTTTGAAATTGTGTGGATCGTATGATGAGGGCTTGTCATATACACTGAAATCGCCAGGGACAAGCAAAATAAAGCACATTAACAGTAACGGCTTACAAAAATCGTTAAAAAAGGTCGTTGATTGAGCCTGCTACCATATTTAAAGTTCAGTTTGAAGAAAGCATTCACGAAATATATTTTCCATTATATGAATTAATTGGAGTAATAAGACGATAGCTCTTAAATTGTAATAACATTTTAAAACAGAAATATTCTACTTCATTCTATTTTATTTAAAAAAAACAGGTTTAAAAAGTGAACTCCATCTGCCCAATGCCGCACCTTGAAAAATTGAAGCAACTTCGAAAAAAAGGAATTTTTTTTTGTCTATAGTTTACGATTTTGTAGAGATATTTTCAAAAACTCTTTCCCCGATATTTTTGCCAGTACCTGTGATGTGAAGGTCACTGTCGCGATGCTTATGCCCCCACAGTTAACATTTCAAATTTTGACTTCGCATATATTGAAGTTAGAAAACATTTATTATTTTATGTTTAACCCTTCTTCATATAAATAAAATTTATTAAAATGCTACACGCTTTACAAGCGCGCGTTTTTTTCTTAGAGCTCGAAAGAGCAGATGTTTAAGATCGACATACTCGATAGCTCCAGTGTTAAACTGAGCGAAAAAGCTCGTATTCCGCTGCAATCAAGTACCCACACGATGCATATTTGTATGTACCATTTACGTTCACAGATATTTTAAATTTTAAACTAATGTGTATTGTTTTTTAATTATAGGAGAAATCGCAAGCAAAAAATGTTGACAACTTCGTCGTTGTATTTTGGTAAGTAAATTGAAAAAATATTTGAAGTTCACACTTGGTTACATTTATTTCATAGTTTCGTCATTCCATCTGCAACAAGAAAGAATTCGTACTAAAAATGACTCAAACCATAATCATTGATCGGCGTAATTCGGTGTTTCATTAAAACGTTTTTATATATTTAGCAGTTTAGGTGGAGCATTAACTTTAATGCTGTGTACATAGGGTAATATAGGAAATTTTAAGCCGCCTTTAAAAATAGGAATTTTATGAGAATCTTCTATCCGAAAATGCCTTTAGTCTAAAGATGCAAATGACATAGTTATACACAGTAAATAGTCGCAGAACACAGTGCAGACGATGGCATAATTTCGAAAACTATCAATCTAGCCCACCATGCAACGCGGAACGCACTTACGGCCTTATTGCTTAACACCATACGTAAATCCTCGTAGATTATTTCACTGTGCGAAAAAACACTGAATCAATTGTCTTAAAATATTACTTAACATTACGAAGTGCCCGTTCAATCACATTGATTGAAATTTTCGAAGAAAATCTTCAGCATTACTAAAATGAATGTTGTATGGTTGCCACGTTTTTTCTACGACGCTTGATTGAAATACATAGAAAAGATACAGTTGACTCTTCCTACGTGTTATATCATGCTGTTTGCATCATACATCCTTTAGTTTTAAAATCACGGAATCGTCTTAAATCTTGTGGGATTTCGATGAAAATTACACCAATATAGTTTATGTTTAGAATTTTTCAAGCACAATAATGAATTTCATGCAGAGAGATACTCATAGATTTTCATTTATTAATAACTGTAATTGCAAGAGAACGATATTGGCTGTTTATTAAAACGAATATCACAGCGGAGGGGGCAGCGCTTGCACTTGCTCTCATTGATCGGTTCAAAATTTGTCGATCGCCTTTCGAAATAGAAAATGATCTAGCAGATCGACAACAAACGCCTGGGGAGCAATTCCCCTCCTTCGTAACATGAGTAAGACCGAGGTTGACTATACCTGTACGCGACACGACAAAGATCTTAAAGAGGAAGGTCAAAAAAAGCGTAGAACGAATAATTTACCCAGTCAATGTGTCATCAATAGAAGTTTTGCGAATGGAAGAATTGCGTAGAAGCTGAACGCAACTTCCCTAAACGTGATTTAGAAACCCACTACAGCGAACATTATATAAACCACCATTGAATATAAACAAACTTTCTGCAACTATGGTGGAAAACGAATCAGACAATTGTACGTCGTTGGAAGGACAAATTTTCTGTTGTACATGTGATAAACCAGACCAATCTGTTAGGCAAACCGAATGACGAGCGTTACACCCAAGTAAACGGAACGTTCGAGAAAATTTCCCGAAGAAAAATATGGAACTACAAAGAGATATATTCAATAAATACAACAGAGCTGAAACATAGACGCTCGCTAAATTGGGAAAAAAGAACCGACACGATAATGCGAAATAAATGAAAAACTTTTAATCTATGCTTTTCATATAATACGACAAATATAATGCGGACAACCGCACCAAATGTTAGGAAAAGCAAATTTAAACGCAAAGCGGAAAGCAAATTATACCGCAAAAAAATTAAGGTTTGCCTCTGTCCTGACTTGGAACATATTTTGGAATGAAATTTTGGTATGAGTTCTACCGAATTCATTCCCGATTGCAGAATTAGAAGTACAAAAGTTATAAGAAGATATGAAGACTGATGCAGAAAAAAACACATGTAAACCGCTTTTCGGCACGTCGTGCCCAAAGGGGGTATTAGAAGAAATTGTACATAAATTTCCCATATTTGAGAAAAAAGTCTAGGAAGTACAATTGTTCAATAACACGTAATAAAATTGGTGCTAGGCGCATGTCCCTTGTAACTATTGAAGAAACCAATGAAGGTTACCGAAAGACCATTTCAGAAATTATATATAGACTTTCTCGGAAAATACGCCAGATCAATAGCAATTTGTATCTAAACAGTTAGAGAATTTTTTAGTAAATTGTTAAATAAAACATATGACACGAGTCAATTAAACTGCGTTAAATGGTATACCTGTACATATATTAAAACGATCCTGGGGGAAATAGAAAAATTAATTCACACTTTTGTGCACACAGCCATTGGAGTTACATCGTATACTGCATTATTTTCGTCGGGACGTGCATCATAATTAATTTAGAATTAACACACTTAGCTTTTCGTATTCTAATCTCCCAGTCCTCTTATTTAGAAACCAGGCCAAGATGTGACCCTATTTATTTTAAAATTTACAACTTTTTAGGCAGATACCTTATTTTCTTTTTAGCGAGGTACAAAATACTCTTAAACATTCTATCTTGTTTACCTTACGATTAATAAGAGTAAAACCTCAGAAAAGCGCGAAAAAACAATCACACGTAACTTTCTGTGAGTATGATCGATTTTTTTCCATTTTCCCACAAAAAGAATAGAGTTCTTCGCAAAGTAGATGTTAAAAATTTCAGCCATTTATCTTTTAAAATTTGTGAGTAATGAGCAAAACCCCATGTGCTTCTGTTTAGAAAAACGGAGTTGCGTGCAGTTTACGCTTTATTGCGGGCTTGACTCCGACCAATTCGGCCAATTTTCAATACCAACCTGCGTGCGAAAACCTCCAATGTTACTACCAAATTTAAGTCAAGATTATGTACGCTTGATAGCGTCTTTGAAGCTTTTTGGATGTTGCAAACATTATGCCAAAATGAGTATGCACTCCGTCCTTCAGTGGCGGCGTAAAAACCTAAATTTCTATCAAAGATTTCCGTGGTTGCAAAATAACCTGAATCGCAAAAAAAGAAAAGAAAAATACAATAGCTATGTAAAAAGTGTCATCACAAAAAAGGCAAATTTTTGGGAAAAAAATTATAACTGCTAATGATCATATACCAAGAAAATTAAATGATTTTCAAAGTCATCATTCATAGTAGATCAAAACCAACAACATTTATTTTTCAGTACAAACTTTCCGATGTACATCGTTTTTATTTTGTTTACAATTTTTTTTTTTTTTTGTCATGAATGCAAATAAGGAAGACATGAATATAAGGTCGAGAATCTGCGATCTTATTAGATTTATATACTCCTGGCACAATAAAAAAAAAATTATTAAAGATGCATGCAGATATAGAATGATTTTATAGAAGACCAACAACGTTCACGACTAGTAGAGTAGATTATAAGCGATTATTAAAGGGAATTTTGACACGAGGATTAGAAGTGTTCATGAACGCAGGAGGGAGAAAGAGTAAGTGACATAATATGTTGCTAACTTCGTGAAAGGTCTTGTCAAAATCGGTGTAGATATATTCCTTTGTATGTCCTTAGATAAGGCATTAAACGTTGTAGCATTTACGGATTTTGATCTGCCTTTTAGGAACGCGTCTTGGTTAGGAAAAATGACTGACTTCTCAGCGACCTGATGTGAAACGTTAAAATGCACTGACGTAAATTTTGGGATACATTGAGGTTACTAAAGCGTCTGTAGTTTTCAACGGGATGTCTATTAGTGCTTTTATTAAGCGGAGCAACAAAGCTAAGCATTTCAAAAATTTGGAGGTGTGCATGTTTCGAGGTTAAAGATGAACGCAAATTGGTTAAAGGAGAAGCGCAAACAACATATCGCCTTTGACGTTCATTTTGACGTTTTATCTCGAAGCGAATATAATAACTGATGATTATGACCAAAAGCAAAAACGCAAAAAGGAGTAATGGCTATGAGAGCCGCAATTAAAATAAGGCCCAAATTACGAATAAATTTAAGAAAAAGGGGACGAGTATAAGTAAAACAATGCCATTCCTTTAATAAGTGTACTTGAACTTATTAAAATATGTGAGAACATAATGGTGTAGCACCGGCATTTGTCGTTATTCAATATTGTAAACATGCTCCTGACTGTATAATTCAAGCTGCCCACTTTAAATGTAACGCAAACATTGGAAGGTCTTACACGCAGTCTGGCATTGAAAACAGCCTAATTCGGTTGAAGGATACGCCCACAGGCCTACATAAACTGAGAACACCTCTGACAGTCAAAAGAAAATAAAGAAAGAATTTTTTGCTCATTAATCATAAACTATAGCGAAGAGATGTACAAAAACTTGAACATCTATTATATGGGCGATGCGGTACTGCCTATATAAAAATGAGTTCACCACGCCTACCCACTATAATAACGTATCAAAATTGAATTTTTTGTTAAATTCTGTCAAATAGGCTGTTTTCGGTAAACATTCTCCCATTCGCAAAAAAAAATAATAATTTGAAAATAAACTTTTCGAAGGATACACTTAGAACGCCTACACACTTGCGCGAGAAACTTTTATTTTCCTCCACGTTATGAAGCATGAAAACATAATTCTTTTCCCTTCTTTGTCTTTTTTATGCCAACAGTGAAGGGTATGAAAAATTCGGTCACCACCAAAAATAACTATCTCACTTGTTTCAAAACTTCATTATTTAAAAACCAAACTGCAATTTTAAAGGTTTTTTAACAAAAATCGCTGAGTAATAATATTTTGGCATTCTACATTTTTGTAAAAAATTTGGGTGGAATGGTCCATTTTTTTGAACACCCTTCCACATCATCGTTCTTCTGAACACTGAATATTTATGCAATGCAATGACCTAATGTTCAATATTTCATGGTGAAAATTACTTCTTAATAGTAATAGAAACCAATCTTACCGAGTTTGTATCACGTATTTTACGTTTTGGATCCAACAACATATAAGAAATGTCATGGAATATAAACTCTTATATGCCAAAAAGATCAAATTGTCAATGTTTTACGATAATAATTTTTCTATAGTAGTAATTTGACGTAAAAGTGAAGTTGACGAAATTTCAACCACCAAAAATTGAGGAAATCTTAAATCTTTTCCTTCAGGAGGAAAAAGTTTTTAAAAGTTGTCTATTGTCGAAATTATTCTAGAAATTTATCAAAAAAATTAAGCGTGGGGAATTTGAATCACATAG